GTATTTGCCAATTTGTTGTCCCTGGAGAAGTGGCTGAAGGCGCCCTCCCAGCAGCTGGCAATACTGGAGAATGCTGAGGAGATACACAGCCACGTATGCGGGCAGTATGTCCTGGAGCAGCTGCAGAAGGGTGTCTCGGCCGAGGAGGTGAAAAAACAGTTACTGGCGCAGTATCTCGTGGATTGCAGGACCACGCAGCGGCTCGTAGCGCATCGTCGCTATCGCGAGCAACGTGGCGAATACTGGACCAGCGAGCACCTAGAGCAACAGGAGTGGGAGTTCTTGTATTCCTTGGTTTCTCTGGATAGCAAGCTCGGCCACACCCGGGCGGTTGGCTGTCGCGCCCGGGCTAGACCTGGTTTGGAGGCTGCGCGTGTATCTTTATGTCAGCGCTTGGGCGTGGCGGAAGAGTTGGTGCCTTTGCAGAATCTATCGGTATTTTTTGGTGACCACGAACGGCATGCCAAGTTGGCACTCGAGTATCCAGGTGCCTTCGTATACAAGGATGCGCTGCCAGGTCCTGTGGTGGAGGCCTACGAGAGGACCTTCCTGGGCCAGGTGCTGCCGAGGACTGCGCACGCGTGTATCTCCGACAAAGAGCAAGGCTGGTGTGCGAGAGCTTGCAGCGTGGCGACAGCTGACGGTTGCATAGTATTCCCGGAAATGGCGGCGGACGCTTGTCTTATTGCTGCGTGTGCCATGTTAAAGTGCCAGGAGGTAGTTCAGCGACAGTCTTGGTCCATGTCATTACTCACCAGTATCCAAGCCACCTACAAGAAGCAATATAATCTGACAGATTTTGCGTTTTGGGTGTGCTACGGGAGTTGGTCCGCTTGCGAGGCCTGCGGTTCGTTCTTCTTCAATGACGAGTATTTCTCGAACCGTGTATATCAGGATCGTAGCACGTCGGAACAACCAGACATGCTGGCGGCGCATCGTCGGCAAGTACCGCAGGACCCGGTGGTGCACGCCGTATTCGAGCTGGTGGCACCTCCTTCCGGGTATGCCTCCAGAGAGTGCCCGGAACGAGGTGCCACCAGCTCGAAGGGAAGGCGCGGCCACCCCCCTAGCTGGTGGTAAAGGTACTTTTGTCTCTCCTGAAAGGTGCTGCGCGAGACCACGTGGTTCGCGACTGCTGTGTACTTTCCGTGTATGTGGCAGGGACTCACGGGTGTATGCCTCTGCCCCTCGACGCCGGAGGGTACGCGCCAGTCCAAGGAGAACGGCATGGTCGAGAACCAGCGCCGTATGGGAGGCATCCAGACCCCAGAGTGGATGGCGTTCGCGGTATACTTCTACCCTGGCTTGGTATTCGGCAACTTTTCCGGTTTCGCAGATTCAGCCGCGAAGTATCTGGGCACACTTTCGGAAGTATTCCATCGGCTGTGCACCCAAGCCGGTATAGCGAACTGGAGATCGCACGTCTTCGTCGGGCACGGCGGCTGGGTGTACGCTGGCTTGCGCAGGCTGTTGCAGCTCCTGCGTATTCACGTGCATTCCGAGGTGGTATCAGGTCTGTCATACAGGCGCATGGCGAGCCTGGATGTATTTGTGGCAACACACACGGGATCCATGGGTATGGAGCCGCCATCTATGGCTCTGTGGAATGCCTCCGACGACGTCAAGGATGGTATCACCTATTTCCCGAAGCAGGACCATTGGTGGCACATGCCAATATGGCGTTCTTTCGGGCAGTCCGAGTATGGGAATGTCATGGATTACCAGGTGGATCTGGGTATGCCGGCGCATGTCCAGGGCGTCCTGGCGGTATTGGCGCCCCGCGCACGCACGGGCGATGTATCCGCGAGGAGGCGTATCGGCACAATGCTTGGACACTTGGCCCCTGATGTATTGCTGCCAGGAGCGCAGCTTGCAGTATTGCGCCCGATGCGCGCCATTAGAGACAGGCGTATGCCAGAAGATGATGAGCACAAAGACTCGCCTCTTTAGTATGTCTCCAGAGCACGTATGTGTCCAGAGCCGCCGCGCCTTGTCCTGCTCCTCCTCCTCCTCCTCCTCCTCCGGCGGGGGGCGTGAGGATCCGGCATCGCTGACAACCATCGGGACAACCATCGGGACCACCATCGGAACAACCATCGGGACAACCATGGGGACAACCATCGGGACAACGATCGGGACAACCACAACCATCAGGACAACCATCGGGACAACCATCGGGACAACCATCGGGACAACGATCGGGACAACCATCGGGACAACCATCGGGAGAACCATCGGAACAACAATCGGGACAATCATCGGGACAATCATCGCGACAACCATCGGGACAACCACAACCATCAGGACCTCCAACCAGAGAGAGCTAGTCACGTGTATTTCGTAGACGAATGAGCCAGTATTGCACATTGAGGCCGGAACGACAACCACAGAACAAGAATGAGCATGTATCGTCTCACAACAACGGAAACAAGTCCTGTGGTATGCTGGCGCCACGCACGTGGTACCACTCAAAATAAGTGTCTTCGCTTGTGTGGTACAGAAACGGAAAAACGTCGGAAAACGGTACAGGTGTCCAGTGTTGGAACAGGGGGAAAAGTCGTATACTAAGCTAGCTTCCACAAAATGTTACCACAACAAGTCACTGTACCCATGCGCCAGTGTAGTAGCCAAGGTCGTCCGCAGGCCACGAAGTGAAGTGTCCGAACGTCATAGGGCGGGAAGCTGGGTGTGGGTGGTGGCGAAGAGTCGTTTGGAAATTTGGTAGAGCTTGAACCGGCCCCCCCACAAAGTGGGGGTATTGCCCGCCTCCTATGAAAACCCTGGCACTGGTGAGAACGGAGTGTCCCCAGTCTTAAATGATTGTTGAACATTATTTATTCTAAAGAATAATTATTGTTGGGCCCCCTGGTGCGCGCCCCCCCTGCGCCGCCTAGGCCGCAGCTACATTTTCATCACTTTCGTGAGGAAGCCTCAGAAAAGAGGGTGTGTACAGGATCCGGTTGTTTTGTTGTAATCCGCTTTCCCTTGCAAAAAACAATAGAAAATGACATTTCTTGTTCTAATATAATCAAATTTCAAGAATCCCTTGCAAAAAATAAGGTAAAGTGGACATTCGCGCGCGCAAGACGAAATCCTTCCAAAACCTTAGTGTTCGCAGCGATTTTAACATAAAAACATCAAAAAACCAATGGTTTTTCAACAAAAAAATGTCAAAATCTCATCCCGCGCGCTCTTGCGGATTCGTAGGAAACCCAACACTTTTTAAACATTTCTGTCAAACGGGCTTTTGCGAGCAACTTTTTCGAACTTCTGCGACAACGGTTGCGCACCTGCCAGGGCCATCATCCCTGTCAAATAATACCATGCGGGACACATTCGTTTTTTCTTCGCGCGCGCACGCCGTCGTCGTCGGCCGCGGGGCCCTGAATAGTAGCCACGGTCGTCCGCATGCCACGAAGTGAAGTGTCCGAACGTCATAGGGCGGGAAGCTGGGTGTGGGTGGTGGCGAAGAGTCGTTTGGAAATTTGGTAGAGCTTGAACCGGCCCCCCCACAAAGTGGGGGTATTGCCCGCCTCCTATGAAAACCCTGGCACTGGTGAGAACGGAGTGTCCCCAGTCTTAAATGATTGTTGTTGTTGTTGTTGTTGTTGTCTGTTGTCGTCGTCCTACCCGCGACCCACCCGCGACGTACCCCGCGACGTAACCCGCGACCCACCCCGCGACCCGCCTCGCGACGTACCCCGCGACCCACCCGCGACCCACCCCGCGACCAACCCGCGACCCACCGCGCGACCAACCCGCGACCAACCAGCGACCCACCCGCGACCCACCCCGCGACCCACCCACGACCCAACCCGCGACCCATCCGCGACCCACCCGCGACCCACCCACGACTCACTTGCGACCCACCCGCGACCCACCCGCAACCCACCCGCGATCCACCCGCGACCCACCCACGACCCAACCCGCGACCCATCCGCGACCCACCCGCGACCCACCCGCGACTCACTTGCGACCCACCCGCGACCCACCCCGCAACCCACCCGCGATCCACCCGCGACCCAACAACGACCCACCCGCGACCTACACACATTAGTTTCACTAAAAAATCGGCGCCTGCGGCGGGCTCGTTGCATAATTTGCAAAACTTCGGCGCCTGCGGCGGGCTTCTCCAGAGTCTCGCAAACTGCCGACGTTCCCACCGCCGCTCACTCTTATCCGCATCTGCGGGTTTCCATTAGTACACGGACACCCTCCGACGAGCTTCGCTTGCACCTTCAGGGGGGGTGGCTGCGTTAAAGTGTCGTCGTCGGATCGCAGTGGTGATGTATAAACCGCAACGCTCCCCTGGAGAGCATGTCTCTGTGTATGTTCATATGGAGGAGAAGCGGCCCCCTCCTCTTTCTCCTCTTCCTCCTCCTCCTCCTCCTCCTCCTCCTCCTCTTTCTCCTCCATCTCCTCCTCCTCCTCGTCCATCTCCTCCTCCTCGTCCTCCTCCTCCTCCTCCTCTTCCTCCTCCTCCTCCTTTCCCTCCCCCTCCTCCTCCACCCTTCTTTTCCGCCTCCTCCTCCACCCTCCTCCTCCTCCTCCTCCTCCTCCTCCTCCTCCTCCTCCTCCTCCTCCTCCTCCTCGTCCTCCTCCCCCTCCTCATCCTCTGGCTCCCTGCCGCTGCGTTACGGCCGCACGACGCCCTTTCTCTTGCTGGCTGGCGCGCTGCTCCCGGCAACCAGGTTTGATGGGTCAAGCCTGGGAGCGTTGCTGGCTGGGCTGTTGAGATCGGCGGCGAGCCTGGGGGGGGAAGCGAGAAAGAGCGGGCCTTCTCAGACTCAGAAAGGGAGGCAATCGTCGGAAGGATGAAGGACGAGTAAGCCCCACTGGGGGGCTGTTACGCCGTAGCGGGCCCTGGATTACGCGAGACTGAGCTGGAGAGAGGGGAAGTAAGGGGAATGTCGGACCAGGGCAGAATCAGAATTTGACCTCACAGGAATTGCATCCGAATCAGAGGGCTCGGCAGTCCCCCTGGCCCTCCGAGCAATTTTGCGGAGTCTCCCTCGAAGGCATAGAAAAAAAACTCCCAGAAGGCCCGAGGACTTCCGCGAAGTCCCGCCGCCTTCTGAGAAAGGGCCTTCTCCTTCTCGCTGCGCCCCCTCCCCCTCGTTCGTTCGCCGCCGAAGGTTGAAAAGATGGGCTGCTGGCTCGGTGCCCCGGCAAAGCCCAACGAATTCTGCGCCTAGGTGCGCCCGCTTCCCCTCACGGCTCGCCCTCCTGGTCCGAGGTCCAGAGCGTCAGGTTGTCGCGGAGCAGCTGCATGATGAGGGTGGAGTCCTTGTACGAGTCCTCCGCGACGTTGTCGAGCTCCGCGATCGCGTCCTCGAAAGCGGTGCGCGCCATCTTGCACGCCTCGTCGGGATTCGCCAACACTTCGTACTGGAACACGGAGAAATTCAGCGCAAGGCCGAGGCGGATCGGGTGCGTCACTGCCAGGTCCTTGGTGGCAATCGCTTGCGCTTCCTCGTAGGCTTCTTTGGCATCATTCGAAGCCTTCGCCTTTTGGTCGCCAGAGGTGTATTCGGCAATGTAACGGTAGTAGTCGGCCTTCATCTTCTGGTAGAAGACCTTCGACTCGCCTGTACTCGCCTTCCCGATGAGACTGCCGTCCAACACAGCAAGGATCTTGTTACAGATCTCATCGAGTTCGGCTTCCACTTTTTTGCAATATTCCTTTGCAAACTTCGCGTTCTCCTCGTTGCCCTTGCTGGTCTCCTTTTGCTCCACGCTGGTGATGATACGCCACGCAGCGCGGCGCGAACCCACGGCGTTCTTGTAGGCCACGGACAGGAGGTTGCGCTCTTCAACCGAAAGCTCGTCCCCCGACTTCCCCACTGCCTCCATGTGCGTCGCCATCTCGTCGTAGCGCTCCGCCTGCTCCGCAAGCTTCGCGAAGTAGACCTCCTTCTCGCGGTTCACCGCCATCTCTGCGGCTGGCGCTGCCTGCGAGGCAGACCTGCGATGCGATCTCCAACGGATTGGAAAGCCCCTCGCCTTGAGCCAACCATTGCGAAGGCGTGGCAAGAATTGGCTGGTGTTGTGCCTCCGCTTAGCCCCTTCATCTCAGACGAGGCCACCCGATAAATGATGTTGCCTTCGTCATGTTTCAAAGTCGGGGGACCTTGCCTGTCCCATCGAACCGCTATCCGGTTCGGGTCCACGTCGAACATCGAATACTCATCGAATCCACGTCGAATCCGTGTCGAGCCAGCGTCGACTCCTCGTAAAACTGCGTCGAGCTCGCGCCAAACTCGCGTCGGGCACAAACCGCCGCTTGCAGGACAGGAAGGGCCCTCCTGAAAGGGAGAGCGGAGGCCTCCCGGGTGGGGCCGGCACGGATGGGCTCGGAGGCTCTCGCCGCACCGCCGATGCCTCGGCGATGCCTCGGCGATGCCTCGGCGACGCCGGCGTGGAGAACACCGGGCTCCACGTCGAGCCGCATCGCCGCTGCATCGGCGCCTCGGCGCGATCCTCGGACCCCACCCGCTCGGACCCCCGCTGGGAGCTCGGACCTCTCCTCCGCGAGGTCCGCCTGCCGAGGCCCGGCGGGCCCGCCCGGGCCGGCCTCGCCTGCGGCCAGCCGCGAGCCGGCGAGGGCCCCCTCCGCCCGACGAGGCCCGGCCCTGGGCGACGCCGAGCGCGGGCGCAAGAGGTGCCCGGAGCAGACAAGCGCGTTGCACCACTCGCAGAGTAGGCCCTCGCAGAATGGCATGCGTCCACTGCGGCCAAGCAGAAGCTGCATCCGAGCAGAAAAGCTCCATCGCAGGAGGTCAGGAACTGTTCCCGACCCTCATGTGGTGCCGGGTCCTCGTTTTGAAGAGGCAGCGCAACGCCTCCTTCCTCCTCCCCTCCTCTCATCCCATTCCTCCCTCCTACCATCCCTGCCTCTGCCTTCCGCATGCCGATTTCGGCGCACCCCTCACACACTTCGTGGCTCCATAGGGAGCTCCACCTAAGCCCCAGTTGCTGAGTTCGCATGCGGTTCCACCCCCCATCTCGGCATACCCCTCACACGCCTCGTGGCCTCATAGGGAGCTCCACCGATGGCCCCAATGGCAACGTTCGCATGCCCATTTTGGCACACCCCTCCCACGTTTTCGTGACACCAAAGGGTGCTCCCCCGAAGGCCCGAGTGGCTGCGTACGCATGCAATTCCGACCCCATCTCGGCACATCCCTCACACGTTTCGTGGCCCCACACCTCACAGGGAGCTCCACCGAATGCCCTCAATGGCTGCGTTCGCGTGCAATTCCGCCCCCCATCTCGGCACACCCTTCACACGCCTCGTGGCCTCACAGGGAGCTCCACCAAAGGCCACCGGTGGCTGCGTTCGCATGCGGTTCCGACACACCCCTCACACGTTTCGTGGCCCCACAAAGCTCCACCGATGGCCCCAATGGCTGTGTTCGCATGCGGTTCCACCCCACATCTCGGCACACCCCTCACACGCTTCGTGGACCCATGGGGAGCTCCACCGATGGCCCCAGTGGCAACGTTCGCATGTAGTTCCGCCACTCATTTAAGCACACCTCTCACACGTTTCGTGGCCCCAAAGGGTGCTCCACCGAAGGCCCCAGTGACTGCGTTCGCATGGCGGCCCCGCAACCAACACCCCTCACACGCTTCGTGGCCCCATGGAGAGCTCCACCCAAAGCCCCAGTGACAGCGCGCGCATGTAATTCTTCTCCAAATTTCGGCACACCCCTCACACGCTTCGTGGCCCCAAAGGGAGCTCCACCGAAGACGACACTGGCAACTGCGCTACTCACAACTGCATCTGGCTGGCCCCTCCACCGGGATGCAGTGGTCCGACGATTACGAGCAGGCACCTTGCAAGTAGTGGAACGCGCTCGGCGATGGATAGAGGGAGGGCAGGAGAGCCCAGGATCGAATCGACATGAATCGGACCGGCGGAAGCCGGCAGCCGCGTCGGGAGACGTCGAAGCGGCAGGACAAATCGGCAGGCCTGCGGGCCTCCAGGAAGCCAACCTCGGAACCCGCCGTCGACTCGAATCGGCGCCGCAGGCCATCGAGATCGAATCGACTCGAAAGGAGCCCCGAGAGGGAGGACGGCCCCACGCGGAACCGAGCGGGAGGGCAGCGCCCCCTTCGGGGTCTGCCGGCGAAGCCTCCGGACGCACGGGGGCCCGCTTCCCGCGACGCTGGCGCCATCGCCCGGACGTCCACTCCCTGCGTTCTGCGCGGTTTCGTGCGTGTTTCTTGTTCGCAGGATGATCCAGGATGCTCCTTAATGATCCCCGCCGAGAAAAATCGGGGATGGACAGACCCCCCTTCAGTAAAACGTGGTTTAGTGAAAACGACCCGAGGCCCAAACCTTGCGGGCGCAAGCCTGGAAAATGACGGCCACGGCGCCCTCTCGAGAACCGAAAACGGACAATTCGCTAATCGACGTGTCACTGTTGGGGGTTCTGTCCGCCCCCGAAAAAAGTGCACACGTCCGAGCGATACCGAGGACGGCGCGCACGCCCCCGGCGGCGCGGCGCCCCGCGGCGGCTCCACGGCCTCGCCCTCCGAGCACGGCCGGGCCGCTGCTGCAAGGGGCGCCGCGCCTGCTTTGAGCGATCCCCACCCAGCGCGAGGCGGGATATTAAAGGGGCCCTGGGACACACAAATAGATACACACCAACAAATGTTTCCCACATTTTCCCACATTCTCTGGGTTTTTGTCTTCACCCCACTTCCCATATTTTCCCAAATTTTCTGGGGAATCGACGATTCATTGTGTCTGTGTGTTTTTTCCTTGCTGAGATACAGTTAAGGCCAGTCCGCAAGAGACCTTCCACAAGAAACCCAACCCTGAGACCCCAGGACGTCCATGGATTCGTGGTTTGGGAACGTCGCGCGCTCCAGATCAAAGACATCGAAGCAAAAAAGACCCAGGGACACCCTGCAGGCAAGTAGGGTGGTTATTGGTGTGGGTTCCACTGTACCCAGGGAGCGCTGGCGCACTTTGGACCTGGCGGCCGCGGTGGGCGGTCGTCGTGCGTCGAAGACACGAGGCGGCAGATGCCCCGAGAGCACCACAGCACACTTTCGGGCCCTGCGGTCGCGATGTGTGCGGGGCGTGCGGGGCGGGCTGGTGAATCCCCTCCGAACCCGCAAAACTCCCTGATGTCAGCGCCTGGACCGTGCAGTGGAGGCCAGTCCACAAGAAACCTTCCACAAGAAGCCCAACCCTGAGACCCAGGGGCGTCCACTCATTGCTGGTGTGGGAACGTCGGAGCGCTGGCGCACTTTGGACCTGGAGGCCAGTCCACAAGGAACCTTCCACAAGAAACCCAACCCTGAGACCCCAGGGCGTCCACTTATTGTTGGTGTGGGGACGTCGCGCTCTCCATGGCAAAATCAGCGAAACCCAAGAAACCCAGGGCACCGGGTGTTTCTTGGCATGGGCCTCCACTGTACCTCCGACGGCGTGCTCTGTACAGCAGCTCCGCAGCCCCACCCTCCTCGCAACCACGGGGCGTGCAGGAGGAGTGGTGTCGCTGAGTTCCGCTGAGAAGGCCTCGCGACGAGCGAGAACCCTGGAGCCCTAGCACCCCAAGACGTTCACGCCGTCCCAGCGGGCGCTCGCCGCGGTGGCAGGGTGTAGAATGTAGAACCCTTCTCGTTCCCATTATCCTTTTTTTCCTCCTCCTCCTCCTCCCCCTCATCCTTTCCATCTCCTCCTCCTTCCCGCCTGTCCTCCTCCACGTCCCTCATCCCCCTCCTCCTGTCCTGCAACACCTGATCCCCCGCCCCTCCTGCTCCTGCTGCTCCTGCTGCTCCTGCTCCTGCTCCTCCTCCTCCTCCTCCTGCTCCTCCTGCTCCTCCTCCTCCTCCTCCTCCTCCTCCTCCTCCTCCTCCTCCTCCTCCTCCTCCTCCTCCTCCCCCTCCCCCGCCTCGTCCTCCTCCTCCTCCTTCTCCTCCTTCTCCTCCTCCTCCTCCTCATCCTCCTCCTCCCCCTCCCGCTCCTCCCCCTCCCCTTCCTCCTCCTCCTCCTCCTCCTACTGCTCCTCCTCTCCTCCTCCTCCTCCCTCTCCTTCCCCTCCCGATCCTCCTCCTCCCCCTGCCCTCCTCCTCCTCCTCCTCCTCCTCCTCCTCCTCCTCGTGCTCCTCCCCCCCATTGGTAGCGATCCTCGGCTAGCCCAGCCTCCAGGGGTAGGGACGCAGTTGCCCTCGTGAGCTCAAGTGCACCCGCGCCATCGGACGACAGCCTGCCTCACTGCAGCCGGCCCTGACTGTACGATACCCCGCGCCCCCCCCCCGGCCACCACGCTCGGCCCGTCAAGGGCGCTCGGATCCAGCACCGCCGCAAACCTGGGGAGGAGGCCGCCGTGCGCTGACCATCCCCTCGCGCTCGCTCCCTCTCTCTCGCTTTGGCCCCGTCTGTCTGCCCTTCTGCCCGTGCGCGCGTACTACAGTCGGCCCGCAACACGAGGACGCGCGAGAAGGATGCAGGGGCCTCGGACGCCCATTTCGGAGCCCTTCGAGCGGAGTGCGGCCAACGAAAGTGGTCGAGGATGGGCCGAGGAGGTCAGGATGCAAAAGGGTGCTCTTGAGAACGTCGCTCGTCCTTCCTGTGCGGGTCGACACTACCTCCGCCCGTCGGGCTGCCAAGGCCTCCTTGGCCCGGTCTCTCTGCGTTGTTCTCAGACCGCCGTCCCTCGGCGGCGCCGCACTCCCTGGCGCTGCACGTCCACGGAGGGGAACGGCAGCATGCCGCGTAGATAGTTCTGCCGTCCATGTCTGCCCGCCCTGCACGCTTCCATTGCACAGCATGCCGCTGCGACGGCTGCATCGCTTGCGCAACGGAATTTCCCGATCGGCAGGAACGGAAAGACAGGGAGCCCGGCCAGGTCGCGGTTATCGTTCCTCCCCCCCTCCCCCTCTCCTCTTGCCCCTCTGCTGCTGCTGCTCCTCCTCCTCCTCCGGCTCTGCAGGACCCCCAAAGTTGCTGCAGAGCCGCTGATCAACACCCCAGAATCCCGTATAATCATGTGTTAGTCACCGTGGACCCCAAACAATGCTTTCTTGCAGTCTGTGCGGTGCAATCTAGGTGGTGCAAAGAATGTGGTGCAATCTATGTGGTGCAGTCTCTGTGGTACGAAGCAAGACAAGTCAACGAACAGCAATGCAATGTAATGCGATGCAGAGCAGAGTCAGGCAGCGAGGAGGAACCAGAAACCGTGCAGAGCAATGCAGCGCAGTGCGAGGCAAGGAAGAGCAATGCGACGCAATGCAGAGACATGTAAGGCCACTCGGCGGTGGACAAGCCTCCGCCGCGCCGCCCTCTCGCGAACCGAGAACGGCCCACCCGCCAATCGACGGGTCAGGGTGGGAGGTCTGTCCACCTCCGATGTTGATGCCTGTGTTTCCCTCCTGCTTCGTCGAGGAGTTAAGCAGCTGCACGAGCACAAGCCATCGGAGGTCCGCGCGCATGTTTCTCGGATCGGAGCCGGACCCCCCCCCCGCATGCGCGCGAGCGCGCCGGGGGGCGGCGCCCGAGGCGTCGCCAGGGGGTCTGTCCCCCCCCCCCGAGCGACGCAGAGCACTGGCAGCGCCACGCGCTGCGACGCGCAGCGCCGAGCCCACGAAAACGCACACGCAGCGCGGCGCGAGCGCGACGCACAGCGCCGTGCGCTCGCGGCGCGGCGGCGGGCGGCGGAGGGCCCGCCGCAGCGCCGCTGCAGGCGCCGACGGCGACGCGGCGGCGGCGGCGACGGGCGGCCTCACAAGCCGGGGATCCTAAAACAGGGCATAGGATCGGGATACATCGCTCCAGAGCGTTCCGGAGCGCTCTCAGAGCGTTCCGGAACGCTCTCAGAGCGGCCGCGGCGCCCAGTACATCCTCCAAACCCGCCGATCCTCAGAGTTTTCGAGTCATCCCGAGCCGATGTTGTCCCGATCTTCGCGTCGTTTGAGATCCTCTCTGGCCCGGGTCCCTCCGGACCTGGGTGAGTGCAGGCCCTGCAGGGCCCCGCAGGTCCTGCAGGATCCTGCACCCACCGCCTCCTCCTCCTCCTCCTCCTCCTCCTCCTCCTCCTCCTCGTCCTCCTCCTCCTCCTCCTCCTCCTCCTCCTCCTCCTCTTTTTTTTCGTCCAGCGCAACGCAGCTTCGATAGCTCGCAAAGAAGATCCACACCCCCGCAGCGCGGGGAATGAGAGGAATTAGGCGGAAGCCCCTTGAGTAAGAACCTCGACGGAGGAGATGCACATAATGAGTCGAGATGCACCCATGGCCAGGGTGCAGATCCTGCATAGGAGCCTGCACCCAAGCCTGGGTCAGCGCGGCCCTGCCCCTGCAGGGTCCTGCAAGATACGGCGCTCTTTGAGCAGGGACCGACCGTCCTTGCATTCCTATAGTCCTACCACGAAATGTTCTTTGAATCCAAACTAAGGTTGTAATAACAGAAGCAATGTTCTTAGAACATTGACCCGATGTGATAAAACAAGACAGTCCCATCCAGAAATCTTCTAAGAAGATTTCGTGGAAACCACAAAAAGTCCTCAGAACATTGTTTGGTAGTGCTTTAGGCGAGCCAGGACGCTTCGCCACTGCTCGATGCAGGCGGAGCTCTGGCCGGCCCCCGCTTGCACTGACCCCCGTCTCAAGGCTCCCGACACAAGCCGGCCGGAGCGGCACCGTGGCCCAGTTACAAGAGGAGGCAACATCCCTCCCTCCCCACGTGCAAGCACGGCTTGGGCATGCCTGCAGCCTGCCTAAGCCCTCCAGGATTTGCCTAGGCAGGTTCTGTCCAAATCGAAAGAAATCGGATCGAGTTTGGTCGTGCGTCAGATCGGGCTTCATTGGCACAGAGTCGACATCGAATCGAATCGGCTACGCCAGGATGCACAAGGGCGCCAAGCAGGCATCAGGATGCATCGGATCGCTGGGAAACAGACATCGCATCGGATCTAGCCCGGCCTCTTCCAAGACCTCTGATGTTGTACTTTGATTCGTGACACTGCGGGGACAGCAAGCGACCAAAACCACATCGAGGACATACCCTGGGCAAACATTGTCGGAATACCGAAACCAGCTTAGTACTGGTTGTGGTCGATGTGACGTCCCATGACGGCCAAATCAACCACAGCTACAACCAAAATGCTCATGCGGAGGTCAGTGGGTTCTTCCCCGGGGGAACCTCCCGAAAAATCCACGTTAAGTGTGATTGTGGTTCTCTGTTGTGCCCGGAGCCCCACTGTCCCTCCCGGTGCGTGTTGTTGACGGTCCCGGGGATGAGAGCGGCCTCTTTCCCGACGCCGGAAGTGTCCCCAAAAGCTGGCGGCCGCGATCTTCTGCTGCGTCGCCTGGGCACGAGGGCCATCCTCCACGAGAGATCACGATATTGCAGATCACGAGGGCGCGCCGCCAAGTTGGCCGACGGTGCCTCGTGGAAGCATTCCCCCACGAGGGAGGACGACGAGGGGCAGGATCGAAGGTCTCTTCGATCCTCGATCCTCTTCAGTCATCGACCCGTTGCCTCTTGGCACATCACAGCTGGGTGCGGAAAGACGGAGTATGATGCCCAGCAGCGGCGCCCAGTCCGCGGCCGCCGTTCTGGCCATCGCTCGGACGTCCATTCCCTGTGTTTTTGTTCGGTTTCGTGCGTGGTTTTTTCGCCAGATGATCAAGGATGCTCCTCGATGGTCCTCGCCGAAGGAAAAATGCACACGTCCGAGCGATGCCCAGCGTTGGGCAGGCGACCTTCTGTCTGCACCTGGCCACGTCCGCGGCGGAACCACCAGCGAGTCCAGAGCAACCAATTGTCGGGAACTGCTGCCCGTCGTCGTACCAGTGAGCAGGGACCGACCGTCCAGGCATTCCTGCAATCAGGCCCACCACGAGAATCGTCTTGAAAGCCACAAGTGTTCGGATAGCAACAAAGAAGGCTCTTAGAACATAGCCCCGATGTGCTAAGACACGACAATATCAGCCAGACATGTTCCAAGAGAGACATGTCGTAGACCACTAGAAAGGCTCTTGGAACCTTCCTGGGTGGGCCTCTAGGCACGCTGGGACGCTTCGCCACTGCTCGACACCTATCCTCTCCGTGCCCATCGCGACCGTAGCGATCTTCGACCCTCTTCGATCCTCGGTCCCCCCCTCGGGGATGGACAGAACCCCCTTTCGCAAAACGTGGTTTAGTGAAAACGACCTCGGGCCCAAATCTGGCGGGCGAAAACCTGGAAAATGACGGCCATGGCGCCCTCCTGAGAACCGAAAACGGACAATTCACTAATCGACGTGTCAGAGTAGGGGTTCTGTCCACCCCCGACCCCCCCTGGTGGCCCGCTTGGCCCACCTGCTCCGCAGGGCATACGGCAGGGGGAGAAGGGCTCGGGGAGGGAGCAGGGCGACACCGGGCCGAATTCTGCGATGCAAAAGAAAGACCTACATCGGCGACACAGCCCCGATAGCGAGCACACCCCCTCTCGGCGATGAGCTGGCGACGGGGGGAGGGTCGGCGCATCCCCCGCTGATAGCCTATCCTCCCAACTCTGGGGATCTTCTGACCCGGGTCATTCCAGACCCCTGTCAGTGAGGCCGTGCAAGATCCTGTGAGATCCTGCAGTTAGGAAGCAACTACTGGGAGGTCTTCGTCGGAAGGATTAAGGAAGATGAAGCCCCACTGGGGGGCTGTTACGCTGGAAACAACGTCTAATTAAACTGGACTGAGCCGGATTCAGCGGGATTTAGCGGGTTTGACCCGGATTGAGCGAGATTCGGCCAGATTTCGGATCAGGGCAAACTCTGAATTTTGACCTCCAGGAGCTGCATCCGAATTGCAGGATGCTGCAGGAGCCTGCACCCAGATCCGGGTCAGTGCACCTCCGGCCCTGCAGGAGCCTGCAAGGTCCGGCGCTCTGGCTGACCCCCGTTTGCATTGACCCCCGTCTCTTGAGCCCCGACCAGACCAGAGGGGCCCAGGGACACACATACAGATATGCACAAACAACAGGACTCCCCATATCTTCAATTTCTGTATGATATTCGTCTTCCCCCCCCCACTCCCCATACTTTCCAATATTTTCGGGGGCATCGACGATTCATTCTGTCTCTGTGTGTCTTTTCTCGGGAGCGGCCCAGCAGGGGCAAATCATGACCGGCGGCATGTGCGCGGCCCAGCGGGGGGGCCAGGGACGTAATGAAACAAGAAGAGGCGCCACGAGATCTGGCGAAATATCATGGCCCACGCCATGATCTCCCCCCCCCCCCAGTCACCACCCCCCTCTTTGCCGCCCCCGATAGTCACAGATTCGTCCCCCAGCTGCTGTGGGCTATTTTTGAATATTCCTCCTGCCGAGGGACAGGCCCGACCTGCGCCTATCCTGGGCCCTCGAATCGGCGTACACGCCCTCCTTCACCAGCCTCGAACGCATCCCTACCCCTGAGACTGACACGCCAAAAGGCGATGACAACCTTAGGCATTCGCCCTCTTTTCCGCCCCCGATTTTCCCTCCTCACAGACCCAGACCCCCGACGTCGTGATTTTTTCATGACGTCGACCCCCAGAGGTCCCGACCCTTTCCCCATGACCGGCTTTTCATCCTGGGTCGTTTTTTGACGCTCCCGAGGCCCGGTGAGGGCCCCCGGAGGCCGAAAATTAGGAAAAACCTCCCGTCGTGATTTTTTCATTACTCGAGGGGGTCTGGGGACGTTGCCCCTGCTTGGCAGGGTCGTCGCTCGGCTCTCCGGCGGCCGGCCGGCGCGATCCGGGCGTATACACCCCCCGCGGGGGGCCGGCCCCTCAGCGGAGCCCAGCTCCCGGGAGGCGCCCCGGCGCCGGAGAGAACGCTGCCGGGAAGCAGCGGGAGCGTCCGAAGGCCTCGAGCCTCGAGACTTCGTTTCCCCCCCCCCGAGCCTCGAAGCTTCCAGGCTTCGCCCCCCCTCGGACCCCGCAACCCCGAGACCTCGAAGCTTCGCCCCCCTCGAACCTCAAACACCAAAAAAACCTCGAACCTCGAAACTTCGCCCCTCCTCCCCCACCCCTCCAGAGAGCCAGCGAGAAAAGCCACGGTGCCCCTGACCTGGCCCCGCTGGCTCGGGGAGGCCCGCCTCCACTGGCAAAACGCACTGCGGAGCAGGGAGCGCCCCCCCCCTCCCTCCTCCTGGCCCGAGAGCCTCCTCCTCCTCCGTCCTCCAGGGCTGGACCTAAAACATGGTTTGTCAGGTTGTGCTCGTTTTGTTGCTCGTTTTGCCCCACCTGTTTTCCTGTACCTCCCTGAGCAAAACAGCGTTTAGGTCCAGCCCTGCCGTCCTCAATCCTCCCCCATCGACCCTCTCTGCGCCTCGATCCTCGACCCTCGATCCTCCTCGATCCTCCTCGATCCTCGATCCCCTTCGACCCTCGATCCTCACCGATGCTCTGTGTCCTCCCCCCCGACCCTCGACCCCCAATCCTCCTTCTCCAACTCTTCCTGAAGGAAGGTTCGGTGGCGACTCATGGGAGCTCCCGTACCATCTTGTCGGCTCTTTTGCGAATCGACGCTGATCGACGCTAATCGACGCGGATCGACGCCAACCGGCGCCAAATCGGCGCGGTCTCATCGACTCCCCGACGCTAATCGACGCTTATCGACGCTGCGAACAACATTACGAGGGTACACAAGGCTCTCCAGGGCTGAACCTGAACAGTGTTTTTCGTTTTCGTCTTGTGTTCGTTCTCCCTCGCTGTTTTGTATCGAATCCGCCTTCACCGCAAAACGCAGCCGAAACGAAACCAGCCCACAAAATCGCAAAAAAAACACCGCTTGGGTCCGCCCCTGACTATACGAGGGTACACAAGGCTCCCATGCTTTGCTATCGAACCCAAACCCAGGCGCCCCCAGAGTCGAATCGACAAATCGGATCGGCGATCGAAATGAATCCGATCGGCGGGAATCGGCAACCGGATCGGGAAAAGTCGAATCGGCGGAAACCGGCAACCTGGCATGCCTCCAGTAAGGAGTCGGAACCCAAATCGGCATCCGAGGTCGCATCGAGCCGGAATCGGAATCCATCGAAATCGAATCGAATCGAATCGGAGAAATCGAAACGAGCCCTGCCAACCACACAGAACACGCGCGGTGCAGGGAGGCCCCGCCTGGAGGCCAGCCCCGTGCCCCCCGCGCGCACGGCACCGCAGACCTGGCCGGCCGCGGCCCGCGGGCTCCCGGCGAGGGCCCACGGCCCTCGCCCCCTCCGGGGCTCGTCCCATCGTGCTCCTGGTCCTCCTGGCCCTCCTCCTCCTCCTGCTCCTGCTCCTGCTCCTCCTCCTCCTCCTCCTCCTCCTCCTCCTCCTCCTCCTCCTCCTCCTCCTCCTCCCCCTCCTCCTCCCTCCTCCCTCCTCCTCTCCTCCCCTCCTCCTCCTCCTCCCCTCCTCCTCCTCCTCCTCCTCCTCCTCCTCCTCTCCTCCTCCCTCCCTCTCCTCCTCCTCCTCCTCCTCCTCCTCCTCCTCCTCCTCCTCCTCTCCTCCTCCTCCTCCTCCTCCTCCTCCTCCTCCTCCTCCTCCTCCTCCTCCTCCTCCTCCTGCTCCTCCTCCTCCTCCTCCTCCTCCTCCTCCTCCTCCCGTCCGAGAACGGGGGCGTCGCGAACCGCGGCCCGAGGCGCGCTCGCGGCCCAAGGGGGGGGCCAGGGGGCGCATCGGCATACGAAGATCGGCGGCGAGTGACGCGGGGGAAGTGAGAAAAAGAGACGGGCTTCTCAGAGGGCAGCGAGACTTCTCGGGCCTTCCGAGAAGCTGTTTCTGTGTCTTCGGGGAGGGCCTATAGAAAACTTCTCAGGAGGCCGGAGAACTTCCGAGCCTGCTGAGAGGGCCTCCTCCTGCTCAGTTCCCCCCCTTCGCTCGCCGCCGAGACGCAGGAGCCATGACATCGGGGGAGGTATCATGGCCCCGGCCACCGTATGCACCCCACGCCGACCAGCCAGAACTGGGGGAGCTGTGGTCCTTACCCCCCTGGGGGAACCCATCGCCTCGACGATCTCTCGAGAGGGGTGTCGAAATCGAGGGGTCCCCCGGGGGGAGAAGGACCACAGCTCCCCCAGTTGTGGCTGGCCTGCCACGCCCCCCGATCATCAACCCCACCTTGGCCGACCCCGACCCGTGGCGACCTCGTGCGCTAGCTCGCTGCTCCAGGTTCTCGGGCGATGGGCGCCCGGGTTCTCACGGCGCCCGGGGGCCGCCCCGTGGGCCAAACCACGGGCCCCAGACCTGTTTGCTGGGGCCCTGGGATGCGCATTCTCTTGCCATCGCTCGGACGTCGAGTCCCCGTGCATTTCTCGGTCTCGCGCGTGGCTTTTTCGGCGCGAGGATCAGGGATGCTCCTCGAGGGTCCTCGCCGAGAGAAACATGCACACGTCCGAGCGATGCCAAGTTCTGGGCTCTGGTCTTCCCCCCCACTTCCCATATGTTCCCATGCTTCTTCCTAGGGATTCGACGATGCATTGTGTCTGTGTGTGTGTTCCCCCTCCTGATGCTTGTAGACACATTCCCAACATGAAAACTGATTGTCGTTCATGCGGCGTGTCAGAAAATATCATCGCAGCCAAACTGGTACGGTCCCCCCTACCATCTCCTGCAAAAGAACAATCAACGCGGTGCACAGGCGTTCATCCAAGAAGTGCGTGCCGTAACCATCCAGGCCATGTCCGCCGACTCTTCGGCGTGCGTGAGACGCTGTCTTCGTCTTCGTCGTCGCCGTCCCCGCCAGTCCCGAGGAAAGACGCGTTGTAGTTAGGTCGATTCCCTTCCCTTGTCCCCTTCCCTGACGACCGGCCATCGCTCGGACGTCCATTCCCTGTGTGTTTGTTCGGTTTCGTGCGCGGTTGTTTCGCCAGATGATCAAGGATGCTCCTCGATGGTCCTCGCCGAAGGAAAAGTGCACACGTCCGAGCGATGCCAAGACGATGACGAGGGGGGGGCTTAGAGAAGGTAGGTATACAGGCGGGGGGTTGGGCGTGGCTGAACGGGGGGGTCATAAATGGGAGGGTCAGAAACGGCCCCCTTTCGTGCCCCTTTCGGGCCCCTCTGGAGCCCCAGGGGGCTCGTTTAGGTACCGTTTGGGTACCTTTTCGTACCACTCTCGCCCCCCCCCCCCACGTATGACCCCCCTACTACGCAACGCCCCAAGGGGGTGCTCACGGCTCGGTCCCCGGGGGTCCCGGCGGGTCCCGAGGGGGGTGGCCCCGTCTGCGAACCAGGGCGGAACCTAAACGGTGCGTTTCGGGTTCGTGTTGTTATCGTTTTCCCTTGTTTTCGTTCTCCCTTGTTCGTTTGTCTTCGTGCTCGTTTTGTTCTCGTGTTCCCTTGTGTTGTCTTCAGTCCACCTCTAAACGAAAAAAAAAGGCATCGGAACGAGAACGGCCCACGAGCTCGCCAGAACACCGTTCGGGTCCACCCCCTGCTGTGAACACTGCAGGGGGGAGCCCCCCTGTGGGGCAGGCCCCGGCCCCGGCCCCGGCCGTGCATGGCCCCGGCCCCGGGGTCCCAGGAGAGCCCAAGATCGAATCGACAGGTCGCATCGGCAGTCGAAGCGCATCGGCTCGGCGGAACTCGGCAGCCGCGTCGGGAGGAGTCGAGCTGGCGGAAAAATCGGCGCAGAGGCGAGCGCCCCAGCGAGAGCTCGGAGTGCCCATCGGACTCCGAGGTCGAAGCGGATGGGAAGCGGAATCCATCGGCATCGAAGCGAAGCGGATCGGAGGGATCGAAGCGGGCCCTCGGGTCCCGGGGAGGAGGCCCCGGTTCACGAAGGGGAGGCCCCGCGCGCTTGCAGGGTCGGCGGCGCAGGCCGTGAGACCTTCACAGCGTCAGAGAACCTGAGGCTTCGGTCGGGCGCGTCCCCCCATACAGGCGGATTGTGGGCAAAGCAGATCAAAAGTTAAGAAAGGGTCGAACATTGTCGAGAAGTCATAGAAAAATCGTTCCCAGACTATGTGTTTCAGCAATTGTGTTGAATCTTCCTCCTGTAGAGGGGGGACACGCCCGACTCAACCTGAGGCGGGCCCATGTGGCGCGCCTCCGCGCGCGCACGTCGACATCGCCAACGAGCAAGCTGTCTTCAAGGACGCGGAAAGCATCTCTCTTCAGAGACCAGCGACCCGCAGATCTTGTCCAATAAACGAAATGCTCCCAGACGTCTGTGCGAGCGCACTTCTTTGAAATTGTGGTAGGCATTCATTGAAGACGTCAACCTTCCGCCGTTCTGCTAGACGAGACCATGCGGACCACACCAGCGCGCGCGCATGTTGAATGCATTCAACAACTATCGTTAGGTCGGGCACTTCCCCCCTACAGGCTGATGTTGGACGAAAAGATACTCTCAAAACACTCAACAATGCTTGAACATAGTCAAACATAGTCCCCTGACTAGTTCTTGACTATGTTTGAATTCCTCCTGTAGAAGGACATGCCCGACTCAAGACTATCGTGCAACCGTTCATTATGTTAACTAATACCTTGTGGCGGCCACACGCGTGCATCTCCGCGCGCGCAAGTCGAGATCCTCACGAAACCAATTGGTGCTGAAACTATTGCAACCCAGAGGTGCGCACCAACACGCGAAACCAAATGTGTTTCGCCATCAAACTTGAACGAGGGATTCTGGCATTCGTCGCGCGCACTTCTTCATGACCCTCATCAACATATCCATATCATCATCGCAAGCATCAGCATTGCCACCAGCATCATCATCATCAGCATCATCAGCATCATAATCATCATCATAATCATCAGCATCAGCATCATCATCCTCATCGTCCTCATCATCATCAGCATCATCGTCATCGTCATTGCCATCATCATCATCACCATCATCATCATCATCATCAGCATCAGCAGCATCATCAGCAGCATCATCATCATCGTCGTTGTCATCACCACCGTCGGCATCATCATCATCATCATCATCATCATCATCATCATCATCATCATCATCATCATGATCATCATCATCATCATCATCATCATCATGATCATCAGCATCAGCATCAGCATCAGCATCATCATCATCATCATCATCAGCATCATCATCAGCAGCATAATCATCATCATCGTCGTTGTCATCACCACCGTCGGCATCATCATCGTCATCGCTGATGTCGTCGCCCTCGTCATCACCGCCACCGCTATAGCCACCATCACCAACATGGCGGCTGTCGCTGCCGATGCCTTCGCCACCAACCATCATCGACTCCCCCGCCACGCGCCGTGGGGAGCTCCACGGGCAGGGTCCGCGCGCGTCCCTGCGCCGCCCTGGGGCCTTCGACGAGAACCATGCTTCCGATGTCCAACTGCACTCGTGTTGCCTAGTCTCATGTTGCTCCCATCGTGCTCAAGGGCGACATCCCAGAAATAATATTTCGAGCACGCCACACAAAAATATCGACACAGTGTCGAACGAGTGTCGCCTCCCTGGGCCAAACACGTGAAAACCCTGCAAGTTTGGGTACTGTCTTGGTGCTCGAAGTTCTTTCTGGTGAGCAAGGCTAGAGTAGGTTGGAACATCATAAGCTGGGATGTTTGGTCGAGAATGGGAGGCTGCCACGCGCGGATGCCAGCAGTGGATTGCACCAGGCATTGCACCCAGTAGACTGCGCCACTCAGGTTGCCCCACATACATTGCACCACAACGATTGCAACGAACATGTTACCCCACGTATAGCGCACCACATCGATGGCATCACACTCAGATGGCACCAACAGGAGTGCATTTCATAGCTTACACTAGAAATGTTGCATCAAGTGGATTGCAATGCAATTGTTGCACGACAAACATTATATTGCATCATGAGAGTAACACCATACAACGCAAATAATGCACCTTGAAGCCCACGCTGGCTAATCAGATCGCAGATCCGTGTCACATCCTTGACACATCATGGCAAACGCGCCAGGAGGCTTTCCATCACTTCGCCATACTGCCAGACTATCACCGCTGCAAGCCTATTTTCACTGCGCCACTGAAATTGAACATTTGCTCTTGCCCCCAACATTGCTCCCGCCAAACTCCTCCTCCTCCTTCTCCCCATCCTCCCCCTCGAGCCTCATCTTCCGCGTCATCTTCATCCGAACCCTCCTTCTGCTCATCCTCTCGTCCCGAGTGGTGGGGCCTCTTCCAGGAGACGAGGATCGTCAGCCGGTAGCCACGCCTCCAGCGATCCCGGACAGGAGGGGGAGGCACCCAGAGCACGAGACGGATCGCTGGCCGATGGTCCCCCCCGCTTCCCCCGTGGCCGTTCCTACCGGGTCGCCCTCCATGGAGGCAACGCACATGAGGACCATGACCAAGACTGAACAAGGAAACGTCGGTGCCGATCTTGGGGTCATCGTCCCTCTCGGTCATCGTCAATCCGCGGATCATCCTCGCGAATCGGCGACGGCTCGCGTGGACCATGACCAAGATCAGCGTCGACAAGATCCCGCGACATCTTGGTCACAGCCATCGCCGTTCTGCCCTCGACTCTCCAAGACCCTCGCCGTGCCCCCCATCACCGCAGCGCGGGCGGGCG